AAAACAAAGCCTCTCGATGTCAGCCCTTCAAGACACTCGACAAGCTGCTAAGGGAATACGAGAGCAACTGAGGGTGGCCGCGCATTAGGCGGCCCGAGGAGGATCTCTTCGCGCAGGTTTGGCATGGGCGGCACGCGAAGGTGTGGTGTAGAGCAGGACTTCCGCGACAGTGCGGCGGGCGGCAGGTGCTTTTGGCGTGGCTCATGATGTTGGACACGAGGAGGAAGAGCAGGGGGTCTTCCAGCACGGGAAGTTCATGAGCGGCTGCATGCGCGTACGCGCTGAAGTTTTCGGGACGTTGGTGCATTCAATTCGCCGAAGGCGCGCCGGGCACTCCTGCTATTCAAGCGAGATTTTGAGAAACTAGCCTGCAAGACGGCAGAAATCGAGGCCACCGGTCGTGGGCCCACCGAGCGGGCACGGTTGGCGAGGCATGCCATGGAGATAAGGCAAGGAGGTGATTCTTGATACAATGTGACTCATGTCACGTTCCCTCCGGTCGTTGTTGCGTCCGAAGCGCGAGAAGTTCGGGCTTCAAATCAAAATTGCTTTCGTCGGCTGTGGGTTCGAATCCCCAAGAGCGCATTTATTATTGGGTGATCTACTGTTGTGCCTCCAAAAGACTATACTAGTGGCTGTTAGTGGTTATGTTGTGGAGTGGTTTAGGTGGTTGCTTTTGAACCGCTACCCTTTTTCCATGTCGTATGTTCGAACCTCGACCGCGTTACTTTTTTTCTGCGTTCAAATTTTAAACAGCTCATTTTTGCACCGCACACCCTTGCACTTTGTTTGAAAAATTGTGATGGAGTATGGGGTCTTCTTTTCGCTGCTTGCGCACCACTGATGGGGCGGCATTGGGGCCAGTTTTTGAGACAAGAGTCGCAAAAGCATTTGGGGAGAAAGCCTCTCTGAAGTACAGGCAAATGTGAAGTTATTTTCGGTCCTGTTCGAGCAATCAGCCATGTCCGCTGAGGGCCGGCCGTAAATTGCATTATGCATAGCTACAAGGTTTAATATGGGGATTTCATGGCGGTGGACTTCGAATATGTATTAACATCCCGACTCTTCAAATTATCCAATTATTGAATTGTTTCGCTTCCCTAAGTCACTAAAAGTTGATGTCTTCACCAGTCACCTGGCATAATGCCGCAGCGAAATACCCCTACCCCTATGTTCGGAGCTAAGTCCTTCCGCTGCTGGACAGATACAAGTCGGATACTTGCATTTTGTATTGATAATATTATGCAGGCCAGAATGATTACAAGTGCGGGGAAGCCTATGAGTACCAATTGCAACAGACCACAAAATAAAACAAAATCGCGTTCAAGATCGCGTCGGCAGAGGACTCAAATCCAGACCAAAGTCCGCATGCCTAGAATAGAATATCAGCATAAAATTTCAACTCACGCCAGAATTTTGAATCAAGCTGTCGTTTGACACCCTGGCTTTTCAAGTTTCCGCTCACTCAAACTCAATACCTTGACTTCCCTGCGGCAGAAATCGGCCTCAAATGGCACACAAGATTCTAAATTCAAGCCATCTTGCTGCCATCCTGATTTCTACTTCCTTGCTTTTCTGTGAACTCGCGCTTCAAGAAACAACGTCCAACAACGACCCATCAATTCGTGAATATAGCTTTAGGCTTGCTCACATTTTCAGCTCCAGTCATACAGAAACGGAATTTCAACCCCGAGCTCCTGACCCCCCGACAGTCTCGCGCCCTTTTCTGTCGACTCGGCACATTATCTTCTCGTGTCGATGCCGCGTACTTCACGTGTTCGACGCGTTGATTCTCTCTTTGACGCGTCTCTCGCTGAATTCATGTCTCTTAACCAGTTGACGCGCCTCATATTTAGGTATGTGCTAGCTCCAGCATACCCCCATTTTCTTAAATGGACCTAAAAACACAATGTTTATGTGCCTTTTAATTTTGGTGTTTTTCACGGTCGACGCCGGATATTTGGGGCGAGAGGAGGGATCTGTTAGGACTAGGAGTGGGCGGTAATGTTCTTATGTGAGGTTACAATTTTGATTGTTGAGCTCAATTAGAAATAAATACAAAACTATCTACGAAGTCCAGTGAACTGAAGTGGGGATTCAACACAAAATATCGGGTGCTTACACACGTCTTTTATGCCCTCGTGTCGCCTACCTGGATGCCTTAGACGGAACTAAAGGAAGGACAAATAAATAAGCAATGAGACAACACACATCCCAAACTCATTGCCAACTAAAGCTGGCACCGGAAAAAGATAAATAAAGACGGTGTAATGCACTCAGGTTGGATGGATGTCGGACAGTTGAATGACTGGGACAGAATCCGGATTCACTGGAGCACAACTGTAGCAGTCACCGATAAATAGGGAGCCAAGAATCAAGGCCGCTCCGGGACTGGCAGACAGAATGTACACAGAAATATTTGATGTGGCGGACGTGGTTCTAACGGTGGGAAGAAGTCAGCCAGGGCGTTGTGGTAGAATATTAATGTGGTACCAGGGTATTGGCGACTTTGCGCTGCAGCCATCAGAGCCATCCAATGGCTTTTTTGCGTTGCGCAAATTGGTGGCTCGCAGCTCAAATGGCTTTGACAACTGAGGGAAAATACAATGTATTTGAGTCCCTATGGGTCCCATACATGCCCCAAATACCGCTCGAGATACTTCCTTTCACTCAACCGGCCAGAATAATTTGATTTGGGACAAAAAAATAACTATATGCAAATTTCCGACTTTTGAGCGGATGTCAGAGTATTTTTTCAACGAAACATGAGAGCTGACTGTTATCACAACCCTTTCCCCTGGACAGAAGTATACGGGTGAAATCCGCCGAAGCCATCAGCCATCCGGATGCGCAATGCAAAAAAAACCATCTGATGGCTCCGCTGGCTGCAGCGCAAACACTCTATAGTATTTATGGCCAAATTGAGCATCCTAGTCTCGCATGGGCTCTTAATTCCTCCATATATTTGATTCAGCACTAGGAAACTTGAAAACACAGGATGACTGTCCTCTCAACGGTTGCTTTCACCAAACGACCCGAAACTTGAACCGCGCTAATTTAGAAACAAATTGCACATATACCGTTGACATGACTGGAATAAATTCCTCTAATAAGTCGCTTTGTTCATCTCAAATTTGTGAAAGAAATGCAAAAGATGTGGTAAATTGTGTAAAATTTTGAAAGCAGAAAAAAAAAAAAAAAAAAAAAAAAAAAGGACCGCGGGAGGTTCGAACATACGACGGAGAAAAGGGTAACAGTTCAAATTAACGTTCAAAGTCAACCACCTAAACCACTTCACAACATACCCATTAACAGCTTCTAGTATAGTAGTCTTTTGGTGGAACAACAGTAGATCACCCAATAATAAATGCGCTCGAACCCGCAGCCAACGAAAAACCAATTTTGATTTGAAGCCCGAACTTCTCGCGCTTCGTACTTGTAATAGCAGCCTAAACGATCTGTAACTGTTCCTTACACCAAGCCATTAAAACAATGCAAAACGAGACACTAAAGCCGACCGCGACCACGCACACGACCTTTCAAGTTACTTCCTCAGCATGTGCGCTTCTGGCTGCAGCTAGTCTGCAGCTCGACCTCCCAACACAGCAAATCCCCGTGCAGAGCTAGCTTACCTCGCTCTGGCTTACTGTTCTGGCTTACCCGCTTGTTCTGGCTTGCGTACACGATCACGCTGTGTCTCTCACAGACATTTCTTTCAACCCAAGTCTCGGAGTGGTGGAGATTCATCAGTAGCATGTCGTCTCTACTCCGCGCGGCTTCCTCATTCCTTTTTGGCGTCTCTTGCCGACCCTCGCACCATTTATGCGTGTGATATGTACACACCATATGTGCCATGTATGGCCTCTGCCCGTTGATGGTGTACTTCCTGTCGCGCGTTCGTCGCCGCTGCTTGAATGTCGATATATACTTCTCTTCTACACGCTCTCGGCCCTGCCGTCTCCGACTCACTCATCCCGCTACGTGGCCGCGCTGCGCATGGCCGCGCTGCGCAGCGCGTATCATTGGTGTCAACGCGCTCGATCACCGCATGCACGCCCTGGGTCCCATACACCATGCCCGTTTAAACGTGCGGCTCGGCGTGGACTTGCGCGACAGCCTCCCCGCGCTGCTTCTCTTCGCGGCCGTGTCGTCGGTGCGGCGAATTACGGGTTCTCGGCGTACCGTGTCTCCTCGCACCTTCGCTCCCTCGTTCTGGGTCTTCGTCGTGCAGGCGTACAGCTCGGGGCGGAGGCGGATGTCCGCCACACTCACGTCGTCCAATGCGGCCGCGCCCTCCTCGCCTCGCCGCACTGCATGCGCTTTGGTTTTCGTTCTTGCTACGACCCACGGACCTGTTACAGCCCGCACTTACAGCCCGCAGATTTGAACCCCCACATGCCCCACGACCTACTACTACCTTCGCCTCATCGCGCACCTTGTGCTCTTTCTGCTCCCTCACGTATTGTTCTTCGCCTATTCTATCCCATCTCTCGTGCCCCCATTCCTTTTTTTTCATTTATCTGCCATAAGTGCGTCGTTTGAGCTGGTCTCTGTTTATTCTACCCCCTTTGTGCAACCTTGCCTTTTGCATACGTACTTCTCGCCTCAAAAGTCGTCTCTGCTGGCGCTCTGTCCGTTTAATTGTTCTTTAGGTTCTTGGGCTGGTCCCTTTCTCTTGCGCCCGGGCAATCCTCTATCCCCAAAGCCTAAACACTCTTCCTTCCTTCTTTTCCCACTTTACCCGCCGTGTCATATGCTTCTGGTCATATATTATTCGTTGTGCGCTGTCAGTACCTGCACTCCTAGTCGACCAGACATTATTTGTTAGGGATAGGGTTAGTTTAACTTCGCTTTTTTTTTGGGGCGTCCTTGCAATTAGTCCGTCGTCCAGGGTTGAACTGGCTCATTTCCAAATGCATCGAAGTTCCGTAAATAGGCCTCGACTATTTTATTCGTTTATTTTACTCCTTTGGTCCCTACAATGGTAGTGTTTGGAATGGGGCCTAGTGGTCTAGTGGTATGACTCTCGTCTTTTCTGAGCCTTTGAATCTCAGCATGCTCCTTCGAGTGATGCGTGTTCAATTCATGCCTAGGCCTCCATTTTTTGGGGGGGGAAAAAAGAAAAAAAGGGGTTCCTGGGGTGCAGTGAAAGTACTTCAGGGTCGATCATTCCTACAACTGTTAAGCGCACTGTCCTCATTGAAAGTTTGATACATCAATGTTAGATTTGTTAAACATACGATTAATTCCCTGGATTAAAATAAGTACGCCGGGAAATCGAAAGGTTCTAAGCTCTCGTGCATAAAAGCGAGCCCACTGAGCCAGGAGTTCTCAAATGCTTCCAGCTGTATGCTGTGTGCTGACACCACTAATCAGAAGCGAGCAAATACCGAGCGTCATCTGGGCCCTGGCCCAATAATATGGCAGTGCTTGCACCTTGGATTGACCTTGGATGCGCCGCGTCCTCGAACTGCGCTCTTCCGCTCAACCGGATATTATTTTTTAGGGATAGGGTTGGTTTAATTTCGCTAATTATTTGTTCTTGTGATTGGTCCGACTTCCCAGGTTGAACTGGCTCGTTTCTTAAAGCATCCAAAGTTCGAATAAATCGCCGATTGCTTTTTCGTCACGTAAAGCATATTATGCCTCTTTGTCCTCTATATAACTGGCTACCTTTGAAATCGCTAATGTGATCCACAATGCCTATTCCTCATACCGATGAGGAGGTTACTGATCTTTATCTTGCTGTCAGAGCGATTGACACGGTGAGTGTTTTCTTTATTGGTCTGTTTATTTAAATTGAGTTCGTCTCGTGTAGCCGGTACTTCCCTGTCAGTATGGCTATTTATATGCAACCGCCTCAGCGGGTAGGCGTACCGTTGCAGTGCCGGTTCGCCAGGACATTGGCGGCGTACAGTCATTCGACGACATTCTCTTCAGTGTATGGGTTCCCCGTGGCAATGCTCGCTCTGAGGAAGATCGCTTGGTTCGTGTGTCGGAATATCCTCCCCACTCCGGCATAAAATTGGATTACGAATACACTGTCGTATTCGTGCCTCCCTCCCGTCGGCCTGGAGGCTTCGTTAACACCAATCGTGATATTCATGCTTCTGTCCCTTGGTATGGCAATATTCTTGTGCTGAGGCACGGGAAACGCAAATTCATCGTGAATGTTTTCGAATCTGAAGGCAAGCTCATCGATAATATTGTTAGTTGGTGCGTATATTGTTCAAAAACTATTTAATTGTTGTTTACTAGTAGGTCATCCAGTTACATTGAACTGGGAATGTTGTGCTAAGGCCCCGGAATGTCTGTACTAGGTGTTGAGGACGCGAGGTACGGGATCGGGTAGGTATTGTGACTATCTTGTAGTAGTGCCTAGTATGCAGTGTCGTTGGTGCAGCATAGGAAATCTAATAGCGTGTTTTTAAATGGTTCAGGTGGTGGTGTGTCTGTCCAAGCGGTGTTCTATGGTATGGCGGTTATTTCGGGTGGATAGGTATGGACGATCTTGCACGCTAGCTCCGCTGTTCTGTTGGGGCCTCGTCCGATTTTCATGATTATCCATTTCCTTCCAGAGCTCCTGTGCAGATTAGGATAGAGTCCATGTTAAAAATATGCAGATAGGCAAGTTCAATCGCGAACGTTGCGTGTCCGTCCGTGTGGTTTTGGATTCCGATATGTGGGTGAATTCCGTCGAGGGTAGGTTCGCAGGCGAGGGTTGGCTTTGCAGCGTAAGCGAGCCAGGAGGCGGCTTTTTGTGTTTGCTTAAGTGGGATCCCTTAGTGTGAGAGGTGAACATATTTCGTAGGTCGTGTAAGCCGGCGGTCGGGGTGAGTTGAGAGCGATGTTCCCTCCGCTGGCGAGGTAGGCAGGGTTTCTGTTGGCGAGTGGGTGAGTATATACTAATAGGAGGTTGACGGTAAGTACACATTTCGCTGAGTATTTGTGTTATGGTTCGTGTTTTGGAGCCAGTGTCGGTGAAGGGCGTTTCTGTGAAGTCGATCGCGGGTGGCTGGAAGGTCCTCACAATGTTGGTGATGGAATGCTGTCAGTTGTTAGTCTAATGGTTGAAAGTGCAATCGTGTTGTCTGAATATGGTCTGGCGATGGTGCCTTCGTGTGAGTTGTATTTGCAGCCGGCACGGATAATGGTGCCGTATTTCGAGGGTTGGCTTCCATATCCGGTTTTCGCAGATTAGGCCGAGTCTACGAGAGTGCGGATGTGGTGGAGAAAGGTTGAGTCCAGTGTTGCTGTAGCTGAAGTGTTATTTTGGGTGATTGTCGGTTAGAATATAATCATTTTTTTTTTTTGGAAATACTATGTATCAGGCGAGGAGGAGGCTCGTAAACCCCTTTATATGATGGGATGAAGATGGTTGTTCACCCAAGATATATCTGCGTGATTTTCTGTTCCTTCTGTGGCCTCGGTCAAACGCAAGTGTCAATGGTGTGCGTACGACTTTGGTATTTAGGAGGGCCTTTGGTCGAGTTTAGACGTACTAACGTTGGTAGAGTTTTATTTTGGATACAGCGCAGTCGTCGATGGAGGATCTTATTGCGACCGTAAGACGTGAGCGTGGCCATCGAATAACGAAACAAACCAAAATAAAAGGGTCCTAGATAGCTTGCGTGTCCTACCGTGTAACCACCAACATTGCTCACCACATTTTTTGGATATCTGTTACAGACTGGTGATGAGTCTAATCGGTTTCTTGCTCAATCTTTCGAGAAGTTAGAAACCCGCTGTATTCGTCTGCTGCAGCTTGTAAACACGTCAGTGCATCAATATTCTCCAACTCTTGTCAGAGTTGATAGACTTGCAGATTAGGGTTTGATGTTTAGTGAACGAGGTACTAGTTATAATCACTAAAAGCGTCTGTACTAGGTTTGATGCGTTCTGATTCGGGTTGGTTTGGTTGGTTTGCCGTTCGTCATATTGTTTTGTCATCTTATTGGATATATATCTTGTCTAGGTTAGTCGAGCTCCTTGATCCGTGCTTTTCCTTGAATGGATCCTCCCAGTGCTTCCCTAGTTTTGAGGTAAGTTGTGGTCTTCGTTTTCCGCGTCTATTGGAGGTCTCTCAATGTTTTATCTGTAGGTCAGTTTTGGGAGGGGTCGCTTCGCGGCTGCCTTTCGAACTTTGGCAACTTGTGTTCTGGTGCTATCTGGGTGCTTACAGGCGCAATCATTATATGTTTGTTCGGCGCCGTAGGGTTGTTTCTCAGGTTTGCCATGTTTGGCGCGCGGTCGTCCTTCAGAGCACTTCGTTCTGGGCCGACATTTTCATCGATTCTTACTCCTCGTTGGCTCTCCTGAGGGAGACTCTGTTGCGATGTGGAACTCGCCCTATCTGTGCGCGGATGGATTTGGGGGGTTTTGGCGTGATTACGACTTCAAGTGGAGGCTTTTCTGGCGAGCCCCGGTCGTTTCTCTTTTTGAACGCCTTGGAAGCGCACTCTGCAACCGTAGGGTCGCTATCGGTGTCGGTGTACACGGCGGAGGAGCACAGTCGCCTTCGTAGTTTTTTTTTGACAGCTCCGCTTCCTATTCTGCGCTATTTAACCATCCGCCATCGCTTTGGTCCCAATAGCAGACGCCGGAACGACCATCTTTTGCCAACTCTTTCCTTTCCTCATGGGATCTCTGGTTTACGGTTTCTTCGGCTCCAGCGCACTCGTGTTGATTGGGCAATGGCTGCTAGTCTCCCCAATCTTCGTGTCTTGGTACTGCATGACATGGGGTTGCCGTTGTGTCCATCCTGGACGGATTATAGGGCGATTTTCGCAGGTGCACCTCAATTGCAGAGGTTGAGCATAGTCGACGTCGGTTGTTCGGGTCTACCTAAAAACCTTACGGCCTTCCCCCCTCTTACCGAGTTGAAATATCTGGATCTCAACTTGGCCTTTTCGCCATCCTTCGTGGCTGTACTGGGAAGCATGCGTTTCGTTGCGCCTATATCCCTCAGATTCAACGTTCGAGCTGATCGTGATATTTTGGAGCTCATATCATGCCCTCGGCTGTTGGAAGTTGTGGAATCACTCGTCTTTTGTGGAGGCCATGATCGGCCTCTATATCTTACTCCTTTGGTGGCTCTTCTGCCTTCATTGTGTTCGTTGGATCTCATTTGTGCGGAAGAGCTGTTTTTGCGTGCTCTTATGAATGACGATAGGTCATCCGGGAACGGCGTCGCTTCGACTGGTCTTCTGTGTCCTCTGTTGAGTCGATTGACTCTGAACACCTTGGATCTGCTCCGCGTTCAGACATTTATTGTGGACCGTGGTCATCCTGTGGGTCAGATGAAGTCGGTGATCTTCAGAAGCAGGTTCAATCGTGCTTATGTTGAGGAGAGACAGTGGTTTATTCTACAAGGCATCGAGGTTGTCATGTCTCCTCCCTTTAATTTTCCTACTTGGATGGGTGCGTACCTTTCGTGATGTAGTTCCAATAAATACTTCAATTTGAATCGGTTTGTCTTATGAGCCCTCGAGTGACATAAATTCATCGATTGCTTAAGAGGAAGAGAAGTTGTACGATATCAGGCATGGTAGTAAGTAGTGTTATGTTGGAGGTGGTATTACATCGGAGTCCGTTAAGAGGAGATGGATAAAAAGAGAAGCATAGTGTTGGGAATTTATAGTACTCGGTGGTGAGGAATGCAGTTAAAATCATCCGGAGATTGGAGAAGTGGAATCTATTCATTCGAAGGTGATCCATGTGGGGTACTCTGAACGTTTTCCTACAATGGTAGCGATATTCCTAGAGGAGAACCACATAAGGTCAGATGCGTACGCTGCGGCGGAATTGCTCCGGAATGTGATTTTTTTGATTTTTTCTGAGTTCGGACCTCGGCGAGAGATAAAGTTGGAAACTGCAGGGGGTTGCATGTACTGTACTGCGAGTTCCTCAAGTAGAGGACACGCGTTTGTCGGTTTTGATCGCATGGAATTGAGGGTGGAGTCTGCAGCTATCATGCCGTCGAGTAGGTCGTCTTCCAACGATAGCATGTCGAGGATTTTAAGCGAACGGAGTGATAGCATTACTTCTTCGAATTGTAGTGGACCGGGATATCCGCTGCAAAATGTGAGCGTTTCGAC